GCTGGAGAAAAACAAACGCATTCCAGAAATCAAAAGCTACAGTATCAGCAAATGCATAAGTCAAGCCTTAGGCTTTGTAACCAGGATCCTGAAGCAAGAAATAGATACCCTATGTTGGCTATCAATGCTGAGATGATACACTGTGTGATCTAAAGAAAAGGATCCAGGCTGGAATAGAGCTACATTCCCTTGACCATGCTGGCTTAGGAGAATCAAAACTTCTTTGGTCAGAAGGAACTGGAGAATATTAAAATCCATGAATACCCTTCACAGTTAATGTGGTGTAAATGGTTAAGCAGTCAACTGCTAGTCGAAAAGTTGGTGGTTTGAACCCACTCAGAGGCACCTCAAAAGATAGGCCTGGCGATCAGCTTCCAAAAGGTCACAGCCTTGAAAACCCCATGGAGCAGTTCTACTCTGCACATCTGGGGTCACCATGAGTCGGAATAGACCCGACGGCAACTAATCACCACCACCTTTTTGATATCTTCATAAAATCCGTATATAACATTTGCAGTAACTGTTAAATGTGTCAACAAATGAGCTACAGGATTTTGTCTGCATCTGAAAAAGGTCTGCATCTACCCAGAATGGGAGAAAACTAAGCAAGCAACAACCCCTCCCCCCAAAATAAAACTAAAACTGTACTTACCAAACTACATAATGGGTAGCTCTTTATATTTGTATGTATCCTGAAAACTCTACATTCCTCAAGGCCCGAGCCAAGGTATTCACATGTCTTCTCATTACTAAAGGCTGGTCCACTGCAGAGATAGACTGTCACGTGAATGAATGAATGAATGATGCTATTCTTACTGCATAAGGTGATGTCTATGGTCAGATCTAACATTTCATATATGAGAAAAAAGACTCATAACACGTAAGTTATCTGCCAAAGGTCACCCACCTACTGAGTGACAAAACCAGAACCAGCACTCAGGTCTTCTTACTTAAGTCTGTCCTCTTCCATTCCAGCAGGATCGCTTTACTCTCACACACAAAGGAAACAACCCTTTCGAACCACAGGAATAGGGCTTCTTGGGCTGCTAGGGTAAATTTAATAAGCAAAGAGCTGAACAGACTGAGAAAACATGGTTACCAGATGGCCTCTGGTCAAAGAACCATGAATGCATCAGTGCCACTTGGAAGTCTTAACTTAAAACAGTATGTCCTGTACTCTAAAGCCTCAGCACTCTTTACCCTAAAGTGAGATGTGCTTTAAAGTACAGACTTTCTGGCATAGATTGGGTCAAAGTAAACAGAAAAAATAAAAAGTGTAGTATACAAAAATATTTTTATTCTGATTCCGTTTTAAGTCATCTCAGAATTTTGGCTACTCAGTAAGAAAATCATGCCTGCAACGTTTGGATTCAATCCAGTTCTTAAGATGTCAAATTAATTTTTACACACAAAAGGTGTTTGCTCGGCATTCCACCTCCTGGATCTCAACAGTTACCTGAGTTGATCTGCAGCTTAGGCAAATGATGGTCAACCCATCTACTAGGTAAAACTCACTCATTCTGAAAAGCGCCAACCCCTCTCTCTTCTAAGGCCTCCCCTCATTTCCTATCAACTCCTTTTCTTGATTAAGAAAACTTGGCTCAGCACTACAGGTAACTGCTCTGCCTTCATCTCTGCATTCCCAGCGCCCAACGACCAGCACCCGGACAGAGGCAGAGTCGGCGCTCAATAAACGTTTTAAAATGGAATGAATGAACTTCAACGCTAAGGACTTTAAAATTAGAAGTTTTTAAAAAGTTTGCTTCTGTTTTTAAATTTTACATCACCTACACACACACATACACGCCAGTGCACACACTTCCTCCTACCACCATATTTATGCAAGAGCCTCCACCAGTCAAAAAGCAATGACACCTTCTGTCTTCCCACTCCCTTTAGACACCCATTCCTACCCGGGCGTCTGCCCTTGACCTCATTGATTTTTCGGAAGCAGCCAGGGGCCGGCTGACCACAGGCTCCGCCGCCTGCAGGTGACCACCACCCGGGTCCCCGTGGCTCGGGAGGAGCCCCGCGCCCCCGACTCCTTTCTCGCAAACAAAGGCCGAGGGGGAGGGGAGGAAGCACAGGGGGCGAGGGGCTGCGGGAAGAGGAGCTGCAGGCGGCGGCGGGAGAGGCAGACGCGGCACCGGCGGCAGGGAGCAGGGTGGGCGCAGGGAGGGCTACTCACGGCAGTCTCGTCGCGGTACACGTCGGGGTACTGAAAGGACAGCATGGCCGGGGACGGACAGGGGCAGCGTGGGGCACGCAGGGCTCCGGCAGCGGACACGAGCCGAGCGGGCTGGCCGTGGGGCGAGGCTGGGGCGCAAACAGGGACTGAGTGCGCAGCGGCGAGTGGACTGGTCTTGGCCAGGGCTCGCACGAGTGAACTCGCCGCGCTGCGGAGAGGACGTGCGGGAAGCAGGAAGCAGCTGTCGGCGAGGAGCCCCTCCCCGGCGGGCGGGCCCGG